AAACCATTAAATACAAGTGGTGACTGCATGTAAGTAATAATACTGAAACAACCATGTGTGCTATGAGTGTTGGTGGTGTGTATACAATAGGGAGTCCATGAGGTATCGGCATGTATGATGTCATCCATGTGTTGGGTGTGTGTCCGACATGAGTACGGCTTCGGTAATGAAAGGGAGTATGATTGGTGATGAAACAGATAATGAAACAGTCTGTTGGTTGATAAGACAAGCCCCCGATAAGATATGATAAGATTGAAAATCTAAAAATATGGTGATTCATAACAGATGCTATCTTGAGAGCGCCGGATTGGATGATGAAAAGAACAACTTATTCATGCTTTGCTGTGTGTTGATAGCATTCGACATGTATTTTTCCTATTGGTACTTTGGATTCTGGTTTACTCCTACTCTGACTTGGCAATGAAGACCTAATGGCCGATGAAGTGTTGCAGAACAGGTATATAAGACAAATATACTTGGTGTCATGTTCAATATTCTATTCTACTCATGGGACGTAGCCAACATAAGCCAAATCGTATGTTCACTTGCTGTAACAATTGCTCAAGAAACTTAGATAGCTTTTAGCTCCATTGGACTCCATTGCGGAGCCCCTTCGTGTCTACTTCACGCAAGGTTTAACAGATCAAGCCATTATTAAACGTCTGTTGCTCAAACATATTGATACAAAGCGGTATGGCCTGGGGTAGGTGTTTATATAGACTTGTTTCTAGAGGTTTCTCAAGATATTTTTAGAATGACTTGATTTTGGGTGATGCGGGTGGAGCTAGGCCTGCAGCGCATATGACAACTTGGTAAGTTTGAATTAGGCTATAGCAATCCCATTAATAATATAACAGATTATTGACTGGAGGAGATATCTGACAGTATTGTTCAAATTTGCAAATAATATCCAAAAGCTGGGGTTTGCGAGATTAAGTGTCTTCTCAGAGATGAGCAGCAGCTGCTGGTCTCAAGGTAAGAATTCTTCAATATAGATAAGTACTATTACTAACTTGCTGTTGCGTAGACAAGTTATTGAGGAGTGGTGCAAGCATTATGAGTTGGATCTAGTTCGAGCACGATGCAAAGGCAAGTATAAGCGGCAGAAGTTCTGGGCTGCCGGTGTTAACAATGTCTGGTGTGCGGATCAGCACGATAAGTGGAAGCGGTTTGGGTTGGCACTACATGTTTGTGTTGATCCCTTCAGTGGGAAAATCAAGTGGTTGAAAGTGTGGTGGACGAACAATAATCCTCGGTTAATTTTTTATATTATCTTGAATGTGTTCAAGAGGGTGGTTGTGAGTATTGCACATCTCGTAGTTTTCTAATCGTTGACAAGTTTTATAGATATCTGTATGGTAACTCAAAGTGATTTGGGCTTGGAGAACTTCTGCATGGCGAAGGGACATACATATATTCAACAAGCAATGGATCCAGATCTGTTCGGCACTCTGCAACACCGCTGGAGACGTGAGAAGAAAAATGTGCAGCCGGAGATTGTTTGGTCAAATGTTCAACGGAGGTTTACTCCTGGATTTGAAGACATTCTAGAGTCTCCTCAGCACAATCCGGATATTTGCTATGATCCACAAATTCCACTGCAATAGTGGGTTTATTATATTTGACGGTTGAACCACGCTAATACCTATTCAATAACATATTCAAGTGGATTTTTATTCCGTGGATGCAGGCTAAACTCGATGTGTATTGATTAAGCGTGAATTGAACTGCGAAGCGCCACCAGAAGCATAAAGTTGTCCCTCAAGGTGGTGCCCCAGACGATATTGAAGAGTTTCCGGAACTGTACAGGGCTCACGACTTTCGAGTAAGATTTTTATTAAGTCAGTGTTATTAAGAAAACTTACAGTCAACCGTAGATCAACATTGATCCCAACACGGAGTGCTTGAAGGAAGCGGAGAGGCTGTATGCTCCACCCAATCACAAGTTGTTTGAGCTCGTTCCTCCAGAGTTTGCCAAATCCGCCAAATATTACTATGGCCAGTTGGGACGCCCGGAAATAACACGCAATACGGTCTGGAACGTATACATGGATCTGCTGGTAATAGTTGAGGAGAACATGATGCATGTGGTCGAGGGTTGGAATCTTACTGCATATAACGAGAACTTTGATGAGGATCACGAGCTTGTAGAGGAAGTGTGGCGTGAGATTCAAGCGGAAGAAACCTTGATGATAGACAAAGAGGACTGCTACATAGGAGGCGTCAATGATGGACTAGGACCAGAGGCAGTAGATGGAGAGGTAGAGTGGTCAGACTCTGACAGTACAGAGGAGATAGATATCATACACGCAACACTACTGATACCAGAAGAATAATGATCGTTGATGATGTACTTCCTCCTTGGTCTGCCATCTGAAACCAAGGTGGAAGTTGATCTTGAATCGGTAGTAGATAAGATAAGTATAGATTAGGAAATATAAAAGCAATCAGGGGGTAGTACCAGAGGTCCTCCTTCCATATGCGGTCCGATCATTGTCCCAAAAAAGCGTGATGCTCCGGGTTTCCATAAATATGCGCTGGCTTCGCCACCGCTGGATGCCGCAAATGCCGGCTGACTTCCTTGCGCGACACGCGGTACTCACGCGAGAACCACGCGAGCATTGATGTGTCGCTCATTGCTCTATCGTGGTCCTCTTGAGATACTCTGTGGTAGAGAAAGACCTCTCGAACGTAGGCACCAATGTGTGGAGCGCCTAGAATAAGATCTCGAAAGGGGATGACTTTTTCCATTGGGAGCATCCGAAATATCTGGAAAAGTTGACGCTGACTGGGGGGAAGCCACGCGTGGCAGACTAAGAAGGACTGGCGGAGGTTTGCTTGGGCATCGCGGTAATCGCCGATGAAGAGAATGCAGAGTGCGATGAGCTCTGGGGGGAGATCTGAACAACAGGCCATACTGGCGACTCAGCCTTGCCTATATGAGATAAGTCGTCGGATGGCGTACGACAGGGGGGATTTGGCACTAGTAGACTCGCAGTACGCGAACTAGTCGGCCTGTGAATGGGCAAACCTTAGCTTTGGACAGTGGTGTCAGTCACAGTGGTGGTCGCCGTCAATGGCCAAGTTGAGCCAGACTTCCCACGACCCGGTCGGACTAACCACTGCCAGCCACTAACCCAGTCGAGTAAGTATGACAGGCTCTGAAACTTCTGGACCTCAGAGAGTCAGAGCCCTATTGCAGCGGGAAGCCGCACTTCACGAATAAACCATTCGTTGTTATCACTGCAAATGATACGAGTCAGTATCGGACAATATTATGTCGTCTGGCTCAGCGCGGCTGCCATGCGATTTTCTAGACTTTCCTGGACCGACATCTCCTGGACATCCCGCTCTGGTCCACCGCCCACGGCTCCGACTTGTTCCCCGGCTGAGCAGCGCGGATCACACCGTTGGGGTAGGCGGCCGCCCCGATTAGGCACCGGTGTATAAAAAAGTTCGCTTCCCCAACTTTTCAGCTTTCAAACGTTGTCCTCGGCCACGACCTGCTCACGCGACCCAAAACGATGAATGTCGCGTCAATTATCCTGCACACCGCCTCTGCGGGCGTGTTTGGCTATGGAATCGCGAACACGCTGTTCAGCGATCGTCCACTGGATACATGGATCCGGAACCAATATGGTGGTCATTTCCAGTATTTGACCATCTTAGGGTGCGTAGACATGCCTTTTCTCACTTTGTTGCGCTGCTGATCCAGACGCGAATTAGGCTCTTGATCACCACTAGTGTTGCGATTCTCGGTTTCCTAACGGACGTGTTCCCCAGTCGAGGTCAACAGCTCTCTCTATCTTTTCGGCGACTACAGTCTGACATCCGCCAGGTCTACGGTCCGCTAAGCGCGCTCTCCTTATGACCGCCATGCCTCTCGAAGCCGTAATTGCGGGAATCTACTGGACACTCTTAACTTTCTTCCCCGCCCTCATCCTCAAAGAAGACATCGTCGCACCAGCTCTCCAAGTCCTCACAAACACTACTGCCGCCGCAGCAGCAATCAGCCCACCCCTCGCAACGATCCCACTCCCCGTTGATCTCGCCATCCACGCGTTTCCGGGATTGGTCCTCGTTTTGGACTTTCTGTTCTTCGAAGAAAAATTCGGCGCGAAATCGGCCGACAACGCTGCACCAGTCGTGTGCTTGCAGACGTTCATATACGCGTGGTGGGCGGAGCTGTGTGGTGATATTAATGGCTCTTGTACGTCTTTTCTCCCTCCCCGTTCCACTAGTATCATAGAGCTGATGACCTTGCTTCGCTGGCAGTCCCATATCCATTCTTGACGTTGAGCCCATTCGAAGTCCGCTTGACGATCTACGCGGGAGCGACACTGCTCGCGTACTGTTCGTTCTTGACGTTGAATGCTGTTCATCCGTGAAAATAGAACTGTACCTGATTGCTGATGTATACATTGCCTCGAATGAGAAAAAAGCTGCTTTTCGATGTGTGCCTTTGATGCAAATGTAATCTGAAGTGGGCGCGAGAGCGCGCCTCGCATGAGAAACCTGCTAGGTCAGTTTCTGAGAATGGGATGGTCAACCATGGCATGAAACCATAGCAGCATGGCGCAGTGGCAGCGCGCGGGGCCCATAACCCCGAGGTCACTTGATCGAAACAAGTTGCTGCTACTGTGAGGCTGTTAAGTCGGAGCTTTTTTGCTTCGGAGACTTGAATCCTGATCCCTGGAAGATGAGCATTGAACATTGAGGCCGATGTTTCAGAGTCCTTGTCGTTAGACACTTCAAATTCATAGTTATGGAGTCATGAAGTGCAGTTATCCTTCACCGGCCATCCAAGTTCCGCTTAAGTTCTACTACATCTGATGAGTAATCCAAGGCGCAGCAATATCAGTGACATCCACTTCATCAAATTCTCCCTGTAGGCTTCAATGGGTGAAGAGTTCCCATGTCAAACAAAAGCGGGGAAGATCCTTGGGTATCGAATGAGGAGAACCTTCCAACTCTGATGATCGATTGCGCCACACATACATAGCAGCATGGCGCAGTGGTAGCGCGCGGGGCCCATAACCCCGAGGTCCTGCTATTAGATCATGCCTATGGGCTTTCTTACTATTCAAAGTACTCTTTTGTCTTACTACCTTGAACAATCAACGGTACGGTACGTCTTCGCAACACCCGTAGCAGGGTGACTCTCAGTATCAATTGGTGTCAATTGTGCATACGGCTCTCATCCCAAGTAGTAATGCACAAGTGGCAATATTCCTTGACCAAAAATCGAGGTCAAATCAACTAGCTACATACGGCATACATTCAAAACCCCTCTTTCTAGGTGGATTAGTCAAACTGTAGATAACTTAAAAAAACAAACGGGTATAGCACACAAAACAATATATATATATATATCCCAAGAAGCAAAGAATAGATAAAATAGATCCGCTCATGAAGCATCGTGAGTAGCCTTCACAGGACTCGGCGGGACGGGAGCGCTAAAGAACCCCTCCGCCGTTATACCAATCGCCTCCACTCCCGCCCCCGCACTCTTCCCATTCCTCAGCGTTCCCCTCCCCACCGAAATCGAGCCTTTCCGCCCCGGCCCACCACCAAAACTCGACCCGTTCTCAATCGAGATCACCGACCGCGACTTGACGTCCTGCGACGATCCATTCGACAGCGTGCTCCGATGCCGCGGCTTGAACCCGCTCGCGCCTGACCATGCACTTGGCGGACCATTAATCGACAGCGCGCTCCCATGGTGTCCATGTCCGTGTGAGGGCCCTATGGGCATCACGAGCATTCCGTCGTCGATGGAATCTTCCTCCTCGTCCTCTCCCAGAATATACCGCGGATCACCAACGCTCCCTGTGCTTATCCGATTCGACACCTTCGGAGGCACTGCTTCACTGCGATCCCTCACTTCGTCAAATATCTCGTAGTATCGTTGAATGCAGAGTTTGATAACACTGCCGAGCGTTGTCCTATTCTCGGACAAGGCGGCTCTGTTCGGCGAAGACGCATTGGGGTAGAGAGCTGGTGCACCCGGAACGCCGCACATCATAACATCCTTCGTCGGGTTGTTGGACTTGACCAGATTAGGTGTAAGCACAACTGCCAAATTATGTGCGTCCATTCGATTTGACGCTGCCCGCAATGATACTTCGTGCATCAAATCTATCAACGGGGTTAACAAAAAGCCTTCACAAGAATTCAAAACTTACGCAGCACTGCACTCAGCAGAATATACATGCACGGCTCCAAGTCAGGCAGAATCGCCTCCCTCACATATCGCACTGCCGCCATATCCGCTAGGTCGCTCTTCACCTCCGGACATCTGCGTATCACCGCGTACATCTCCTCACCAAACACCGGCTCTGGAAGATCCCTCAAGAATTTCTTGATCAACACCGCCGCCAAATGCTGGTCCCCAAACGTCTCGAGATTGACCACGTTTCCGCGGTCGTACGCGTCCTGGGCAGCACGCAGCAGTGCCGAGGACGGCGAGCGCCGAAATAGACCCTCTTCGTACAGCCCCGTCTCCCGCAGATATTGGATAGCATCCTTGATTGGACGCGGCAAAGCGGAGTTTTCACCAGAGGCGCCCATGAGATCCGCCAGAGGTACACCAAAGGTAGACGATGATATGGGGATGGGGAGGATAATCTTCTTTTCATGTTTGTTGTTTTCTCTGCGTAAATTCGTTACAAAAGAATAGAACGGAAACGAAGGACGTACTGATAAACAGCTGGCGGGATGTCAATCTGCGTTATAGGCACTTGAGCGGCGAGTTCGGTAAGTGTGTCCATGTAAGCGATCTTGCGGAAGAATTTGGGACTGATTATAGCGCCAGCGAGCGAGAACAGCACTGCGGACACGTTGAATAAAATGCGGCAGGCAGATTGATTTACTCACTCTTGGTGAAGAAGGTGGAATGAACGATGAACTAGACACGAGTCAGCATAAATTCCGCACTCTGGACACGACATACCAGTCTCTTTAAGTTTTTCCTGTAGTTTCTGTTCAATCCACGATAAGCCTTCCAAACCCAATTCCATCCTGGAGTATGCCGACTACCAGCTGCGAAGAAAACGACGGTGTAATCCGCTTCCACTGAGGGTGATTTAGAAAAGCCAAGGAAGGAGGAGTAAGAGACGCACCGTATAGATTGAGGTAGGACAGCACACGAGATAGCAGCAAATCATAGTTGACTTCGTGCGGATCTGGTAATGCAGAGGCGTTGAGGACAACCCTTTGTACAAATCAACAACGAGTCAACAAAGTTGAAACAACTCACATTGGCCGCGTTCTGCAACAAAGAATCAGATACAGCGAGTAAGACACGCCAAATGAACGCACTCAAAGTCGACTCCAGCTTGGAAGATAAGCTTGCCCATTACGTCCTGGACCTTGTTCAATTCGTGGGTGGTACCGTCCGTGTACGAGCTGCGCGATTTCATATTCCATGGTGTATTGAAAAAGCTTCTCCTCTTGGGCGACTCGGCCTCAACATAAGACTGGTGACTGTAGTTTGTGGGGGATGCGGGAGCAGACGGAGCCGCCGAAAGCGCGGCGAGGCGCTGCTTCAGCGTGAGCGTCGTCGGTGGCATTTTTCGCGGTCGGGCTCGTGTTTGGGTTTCCATTCTTGACATGTCCCGATAATGTTTGGGCTCCTATTGGATGGGCGCGTTACGATAGCGGCGTGGAGGAGCGGGGCGACGCAGAGGGTATTCACTGGTCGCGGATTAGCAGGCGAAAAAGCGACAGCAACAGCAACTCACCGGGAACATGGCGGTCGGGAGAGGGAAGCTGATTGCCATGTGCGGCAATGGCGATCACTCAAGAACCCTAACCCCGATCAAACATGCTTTGTTCTGTTCCTTAGAATTCAGTAGATTTCCGCGAAGATAAACAGAGACAGTTCCTGAATGCTATCTCTCAATTAAACAGCATGCCAGCAGACGCGAGTCGTTAGCGAAAGCTAAACATGCAGCGCCAACTAAGCATTTTGGTCGTCAACGTGTTTTCGTCACGTCTTCTCTAATTAATATTTACTGATGTTACGCCACAGGAGCTCCTCTGTCTGCTGTTTATTCTTCCAACCGTCAAACAGTTCTTTCACATCAGATCTTTTGACGCCGTCGCTATGGAGACCTCCGTTATCCTTGCAATTCCACTGATCCGCGAATCCCTCCCGACGCTCACATTCACCAACGGCGAAAGCGTTCTTCATGAATGCGAGAGAGCTAAAAGCAGGATAAAAGGCAAATTGACCGCGCTTTTCCTGCACTTGGGAGGCGTTATTCCGGAGAAATGTCGCTCAGGTTGATCATGGTGCGCAAGCTGATCAATCATCTACCGCCAAGGGATTATGCGCATAAGGACACACAGCGTGGATTGGCAGCTCCGTGTTATCGATGGACAGAATGTACGCGTTGCTCTCGCCAGTACTATCGCACAAACTCCTCGGGTCGTGCATTCATCAAGGCGATACCCTCAATCCTAAAATCATCTCGCTCAACATATGATCCACCAGCATCGAAGACCATATTCACAGGACTCTCTCCATACGAAGGCCAATAAGGCAGGTTACTCATAGCGCGATTCGGGTTCAGCTGATGAGCGTATGAGCATGCAAGTACACATATAGACGTAGACGGAACGCACATTGTGAGGAAAGCCATGCTCTCACCATATCTTTGGAGAACGCTAACGCGGCGGGGTCAGTACCGAGGAACATCTCAAACGTATCAGCTCGTAATATCCCCAGTGACTGCAGTCAGAATCCGCTCTGCGCGAGTATTGAACTGTTCCTCTTTATTAGATACTCGTCTTCCCTTTGATAGGACTCAGCCGATACGAGTAGACATTCTGGGACCATTGCGCCATGACTTCGCACTGGCACCTCCTCGGTGCAATGATATTTATATCCCCCGCAAAACTCGCAGACCTCTTGTATTGAAATCCGTGCTCGGCGAAGTTGACACCACCGTCCCCAGTCCCATACGGCGAGCCCAAACTGGGATAATTGAGATAAATCCAACTAACTTGCTTGCGGTGTCAGCGCTAATGTTACGTCCATTCAGAGTCGAATCTGTTTGTGCGATGGATTAGCAGAAGACGGTTGCCTCGATGATTGCTTCACTAGTACGGAGCGCGTAAAACTGCTCATCCGGGTCGATACCTTCCCAAGCGAAAAAGGTCGCAGTACCTAATGGCAAGCCGGAGTCAACCTCATGGACAGACCTAGTCAAATTAATTACTATACCGTGTTAGCTCCCACCAGCCCGACAATGTTCGTATCGAGCTGTCCTGTTGAAAGTAGCTTGCTCGGGAAATCGGGAATAAAGGCTCCATCAACGACGGGCCCAAAGCCAAATTTCAAAGCATAAGCAGTATACAAAACATCATACGGCGTCGCTCTCAAGCAATCCAGTGTATCGAAGGACGAATCACAGCCGATCTGATGGACGATATCATCGTACGAAGCTTGCGTATGTTCGACGTCGTCTGCACACGACTAATTAGCGAGTGAGAAATGAGGGAACAGGTAATCAGCTAACATCGAACCCCAAGTGCCGCCCCACTCTCATAGATAGCGCCTCTGAATAAATCAGTTTCGCCATCTTTGCCACCGCCGTACGCGAGAGCTTGCAGGCCGACGCTGTATGCTCCCGCAGACTCGTGACTGTGCTTGGATCTGGAACGTTGCCTGGAGATCAGTTTTCTACCAACGCAATTTGAGCGGTTACCGACCTCCGCCAAAATACGCGATATTCTCCTGTATCCAGTGGAAGAGCCAGATGCTGGTCTCTCAAGCCAAGGTTTGCATTACCGGATGCAACGACTTCCGCCGATGCGAGAAAACCGAACGTCGGTAATCTGGGAACAAAAGTCAGACAAAGATAGTATCTAACGGATAACAGGCATACCTATAGATTATGGACACCGCGATAATGGGCTCACCCAATTCAATAGATTCTTGGACGATATAACGAAGATTGTAGACCGGTGAAAATGTCGAGCCGCCACTAAAGCCACCGCCATAAATCCACACTGGCAAAAATCTATATTGGCGATGTGACAAGAGAAAGGAAAGCCGACA